AACTGGCTTGTGGCAGCCAAGCGTTCATAGCGACGTTGCTTTTTGATCCTTCGATGTCGGCTCTTCCTATCATTGAGACGCAGAAGTCTCAAAGTGTCGGATTGTTCACCCGCCAATAGGGAACGTGAGCTGGGTTTAGACCGTCGTGAGACAGGTTAGTTTTACCCTACTGACAAAATTGATACTGCGACAGTAATCCAACTTAGTACGAGAGGAACAGTTGGTTCAGATACTTGGTTAATGCGGCTAGCTGAAAAGCTAGTGCCGCGACGCTACCATCTGTTGGATTATGACTGAACGCCTCTAAGTCAGAATCCATGCTGGCAAAGCAGTGTTTTTCATCGCCTCATTTGTTACTTGCATATGTTTTTAGTGCCTCGAGCACAACATCTCATCAAAGCCCTCTGCGTCATGCGCTGGGCTATAATCGCAATTTCCCACAATTGAGGCGCTACATCCATTGCAGACGACTTTGGCGCAACCAGGTATTGTAAGTGTGAGAGTAGGCTAGTCCTACGATCCACTAAGATTCAGCCTGCGTTGTACGATGTGTTCTTCCTTCAGCACATGCAGCTTGCTGGGCCTTTTGGGGCTTGACCATTGGTTCAGCCCCAAAGACCATTGACTCGAAGTTCATTGTAGTGTCGGCGATGCAATGTCTCACTGTTGGGCAATTCCCACGCCTTCTTAAGGTCCTCAAATCCCTCGTCATCACTTCCGTTCAACTCATGGAGTCACTAGATGTGAAGATGCATACTGTGGTTGGGCGAGGCAAAACATGTATGGGTGCCAAGAAATCGGACTTGCATTCTTAAGGTATCCAAATCCCTCGTCACTTCTACGATGAACTGTTCAGAAGGAATGCTTATTCGTATTCGGATTTCGTGGGATTTGCCGTCAAGGTACGTTAAGGTATCCAGATCCCTCGTCACTTCTACGAGATAGGCGTTGCACTCTTAAGGTCACCTATCCCTTGTCAATCTCAGGAAATCAAACGTCATCCGTAAGACTAAGCATTCCCGTACGAACAGTTAATTCCATGTCTCATTACAGTGTGCTTGCTGGGTACGCTCCCTTCTACAGTGTGCTTGCTGGGTACTCTACCAAGACCGTGCGTGCTGTGACGCTGGTACAGCGTGCAGCCTCCGAGTATAGAGGCACAAGCAAGTATACGTTTCCTGTAAAACGTCTTAAATAGCTTTTCCTTAATTACATTTTTTTGAATTATTAATTTAAAAAATAAGGGGAGAAATAAAAAAGACCAATTTTTTACGACTGTTATGTACACGGGATCCAGCGGGCAACGTGGTGTGTGTGTGTGTACGGCGTGCTACTACGAGCAGAGCAAAGATCATAAGAAAAACTTGATTATTATAATAATTAAATTATTTAAATTTAAGGAGATAATGAACTTTTATTGATCTAAGAATAAATTTATATTGATCTGAAGGTAAGAATGCATGAGACAAGGAGGAAAAGATTAAGAAATAGATAGGATAATAATGTTAAGGCGCTAGAGGGCAACTAGACTGGCGTTGCTATGGGGGCAAAAAGTTACAAGAAATGGCAATTTTTGTATTTTTTCCTAATTAAATTATTGTCTAATTGAATTAAACAATTAATTGCAATTATTTGAATTCGTTAAACTACAAGAAAAAAGAAAACTCAAGAGAGGCAAGGAGGCCTGTTGTTTTTCTTTTTTTGTCTGTTTGTGTGTACCATTAGACCATAAAAGAAACGGGTGTTGTTTATGCAACTTTATTACCAAATAAGGAGGCAAAAAAAATTCATTAAAGGATTTATTTTTAACAAAAAAAAAAAAAAAAAAAAAAAAAT